TGGGCTCCACACTGACAGCATGGAGCCTGCTTGGGATTCTCTCTGTCTCCTTCTCTCTTTGCCCCTGCCATGCGCATGCGTGTGCGCACTCTCTCTCTCTCCCTTTCTCTCAAAATAAACTTTAAAATCCAAATTTTACTTATTTTTTATCTCAAGTTTCACTTACAAAGATTTAAAAACTTTTAAATGCAGTTGATCTCATTTTTACTATTATACAACCATTCAGATTTTTAAAAACCCATCAATTAGAAAAAGATCAAATGTTTAAGAGAAGTCCAGCGAGAAGTGGTTGAGGCAACCAGTACATCTCCCAATGCCTTGTGGCCTGCAGGATACCTGGAGTACCCTTGCTGGGGGGACCTAAACATTTTCTGTAGGAGGCCAGAGCCCAACCCTGTTAGCCTGGTTTTGTCTTAAGATTTCTCTGAACAGTCACTCCCTTAGACTATCGAAAATAAGAATTGTATTTCAAAAATTCTATTTTTGTAACTTGGAGCAAAATAGCCATTGCATAAGATGAAACACAATTGCGTATCCTCTCTCTTCTCAGATTTCTCTCAACATTGCGTTAAGGAAATCCTATGCTTTGAAGATAGGGAGCGATGTATTGCCACTCATACTCTCATGTGGTTTTAGTTTCTGGTTAATTCTGCCTCTATTGTTTTTATCCTCATTTGTAACTCAGTTTCCAGATATGGAAACTTTTAAGTGTAGAAAGACTTTGAGAAAAGATGTCTTTGTTGATGTCACTATTCCACAAATACCCCGTTGTGGAGAACTTGTCCTATAATATCTAATAACCTTCCCAAACTTGTGTCACTTGGTGATTTCTATTAAGTTTTGCTAGAGCTTTAAGTAGTATAATAGAGTGTCCTTCTCTAAGTGATTGCCATTCATAAAGGAAAAATATTTGGTTTTCATTTTTTCTGTATAAGAAAGTAATTTACTCCTACATAAACATTATTTAATGTGTAAGAAAAAAATTGAGAATATCTTTAAAATCTTCCATGTAACATAGCATTTTTAGAGATTTTTCTCAACTGTGGTTTGGATTCAAACCACTGTGTGTCTTCCCAAGTAAAGTTAATTTTTGCTAATGGAAACCACATCTTTTTAAAAAATACACAGATCATTATTGCTAGAAATACCTCGGAGAGCATGTTGGAATGGAATGCTAGGAGTTCCAGAAGAAGTGGGAATTTGAATTTTGAAATAGTCAACTTTTTTCAAATTGTTCTCCTGAGTACTTGGAATCTGTTGTCTAATCATAACAAAAGTGTCTCTGTTGAATGTCACCTTTCAAAGATGAGTCTTAAACTAGATTTGTGACATTGGGTGGTAATGATATTGAATTCTATAAACTATATATTTTTTAAACCTTTCTGTTTTCTAATGTGTATTTATTTTTGAGAGAGAGGGCACAAGTGGAGGAGGGGCAGACAGAGAGGGGGACAGAGGATCCAAAGCAGGCTCTGTGCTGATGGCAGAGAGCCCTATGCAGGGCTCGAACCCACTAACCATGAAATCATGACCTGAGCCTAAGTCAGACACTTAACCGACTAAGCCACCCAGGCGCCCCTATAAACTGTATTTTAGAGTATACTGTCTAGGTGTGATAATTGATTTATTCATTCGTTTTACTTTCCCATTCAAAAATATTTTAGTGCTAGAGGTCTACAAGGCACTGTTTTAGGTGCTATGAATATGGTGACTTAACCAAAGATTCCTTCCTCAGAAAGCTTACACTCTGTTAATTGAAATAATACTTGTAAATAAGTAACAAATGTAAAAAGCTACAAGGACTCTGATAGGTACAGTCAACAGCTTCGGGCGTTCCAAGAAGGGCAGTACCATAGGTCAAGAAGAATTTGAGATGGCTTGCTTTGTGGAAGGTATTGCATTTGACTTGACCGATGAAAGATACTGAAGAGTGGAACATTTAAGGACAGTGGTAGCAAATACTCCATGTAGAAGAAGAAAGAGAAGGGTCCAAAAACTTGGTGCATGGACAGGAAGTCGGCTGTCATTCAACCCAAGTGAAATGGAGATTATGAAGGGAAGAGGGGCTGGGAAAGTAAGTGGGGGCTGGATCATGGAGCCTTTGGGTACCTGAGATGTTTGAGTGTTCTTCAGTACCAGTGGGAAGCCACCATAGGTTTTGAGCATGATGGGCTCAGCGGTCTCATGTGATCTGGATTGGAGTGAGGGTGAACCGAAATCGGAAGGAAGTTAGTTTCCTTCTGTGACATATGAGGCTTAAAGTATGGAAGTGTTGATGACACCTATGCGGAGATAGTGCCTACGTGGATGAGAGAAGCATGGCAACATTTGGGACAGGGGGGCAAAGAAAAGAGGAATCAAGTGTGACCCAAAGTTTTGAAATCTTGTTCTGTAAAAGAAAAAGGAACCCTAAATCAAAGTTCTCCCAGGTGGTCTCCCTGTGTGTCATCCCTTTGGGTTCTGTGTCCTCCACACCTGCCTTGTAGAGTCATGCTCCTATTAAAAACATAGGAAATTAGGTGTCCACTGCTGGTTTGTTCAAGAAGTAGCAGCTTTGACAGTTGCACGAAGTGTTTGGCCTTGACCATCACACAACTCTAAGTTGGTAATGCCATCAGTCTTTTTAAGTGACATGCCCTAGAAACAGTAACCTTTCTGGATGCATAATCCTGCCTCCCTTGCAGCCTCAACATGATCACGTTCTCCATCCCAGTGGCTGATCTCCTGTTTGCTCCTCAAATACCCCAGGCCTCTTTCCAACCCTGAGGCCTTTGCACATGCTGTTGCCTGGAACATTATTCCCATCAATTGCACAGGTCTAGTGTCTTGTCTGTTTTTGGTCCCAGCTTAAATATCCCCACTTCTCCAAGAGATGTACCATTATTCTTTAACTGAGTCCTTTGTTTCTTTCCTACCCAGTACTTAGGACTATGTACTTAGTACTACAATTACCGACTACTTTATTTGCATGTTACTCTTTTTTTTGCCTCTTTCCCTGATAAAACATAAGCCATGTATCTTTTCCTAATTGCTATATCTCTAAGCACCAAGAACTGTGTCTGGCACTCCATCATAAAAAATCAATAAGTAGTTTTTGAATTAGTGAGTGAACGAATACATTCGTGAAGTAATGAATGAATACACCTGTTGAGAAAGCTCTGTATAGGGGGGCCTGGTGGCTCAGTCGGTTAAACATCTGACTTCAGCTCAGGTTGTGATCTCACAGTTCTTGAGTTTGAGCCCCACATTGGGGGCTGTGCTGACAACTCAGAGTGTGGAGCCTGCTTTGGATTCTGTGGTTCCCTCTCTCTCTGCCATTCCCCTGCTTGTGGTCTGTCTCCCTCTCAAAAATAAACATTAAAAAATATATATTTTAAAGGAAAGCTAGGGGCGCCTGGGTGTCTTAGTCTGTTAAGTATCCGACTTCAGCTCAGGTCATGATCTCACAGCTTGTGGGTTCAAGCCCTGTATCGGGCTCTGTGCCGACAACTCAGAGCCTGGAGCCTGTTTCAGATTCTGTGTCTCCCTCTCTCTCTGTACCTCCCTGCTTGTTCCCTGTCAAAAATGAATAAACATTAAAAAAAATTTTTTAAGAAAGCTTTGTATAATCTAAAACTATCCTCACTTACCCCTAAATAATCCAATTAAATATAAAGAGTGGCAACAAATAGCTACTAATCTTCTTTAATCTGCAAAGTAACATACTCTATAAAAAGCATTCATATGATTCCCACAGTGATATTTGGAAAATAAAATATAAGTATTCTCCTTAAGTTCCTGAATTTCCATAAAATCTCTGGTACCACACCATGCTGCAACATTTTTCAGCCTTTTAAAAAATGAAATAGAACAGAAGCTAGAAAATACCATGGTGTGCTGAATCTACTAGGCATGGTTTCAAGAAACTTCAGAGTGTGTGTGTGTGTGTGTGTGCGCGCGCGCGCGCACGCACACGTGGGTGTGTAGGAGGATGCAATAGAAAATTATTTTTTTACTGTGACTCAGTCAATATACACTCTGGTATTTTCCATGTTATCCTAATCCCTCATCTGGCTGCTGTCCTAGCTCTTCAAAGCCAGTGTTGAATTGTCATTCTGCTGTGTTCTGATTCCTTACAGCTTATTCGCAATGGAAGCCTTCCCACAGATGCAACCAAAATTCAAGTTTTTTAGTATTTTCTTATAGATCAACAAACCTTGACCTCTCTCAGAATGCTCAGGCTTGCTGTAAATAGTGTTCCCGTACCTTTCACTGCAATACTAGGCTGTTTTTAAGTAAACCAGGAAAAAAACACACACATACAACCATTCAGGGTAGGACAGTGGTAAGATTTGCTAGTTTTTAAATCAAGAATTTAAAGCAATGTTTTGACACCCAGTAGCAATATTTGCTAAAATAACATCTATGTTAACTGCTTTTTTTTCCCTCTCTTTTTCTCTCTTCATCAAGCTGCCTGCCTTGTGCTTGGCTGTATGATTTTCCCTGATGGCTGGGATTCAGATGAAGTCAAACGGATGTGTGGAGAAAAGACAGACAAGTACACTCTTGGGGCGTGTTCAGTCCGCTGGGCATACATCCTGGCCATTATTGGGATTTTGGATGCCCTGATCCTCTCGTTTCTGGCATTTGTGCTTGGTAACCGACAAGACAGCTTGATGGCAGAGGAACTGAAGGCAGAAAACAAAGGTAAGATTGCTTTGGGGAACTCTTATCAGGACACTTCAAGCACATCAAATACCAGTGCTTCCCATGTGGGTCTAATTTCGTGCATCTTTTAATGCTGTCTAGTTCATAGACTTTCTCCTAGACTCAACTCCAGAAGTTTATGCAATTGAACTACAGGATTTTCATACTTACCTTTCTAAGACTCTGAGTCCATTATTATTTAAATGCATTTTTCCAGTTTCTTTTTCC